AGTTTGGGTCTTGGGGGTGCCTCCAGCGGAGAAGATGGGCACTATCACGCGGGCAAGGCAGCGAGAGCAAGCCTTGAGCAAGCACAACCACAAATCATCGGCCACAACGGAGACAGCCAACAAGACATAACTCTTCGATCAGTAGACAAACAAGTTGAGCTTCAGAACACTCCATCACTGGTCAACCGTTTTTTTTGTTTTCCAAGCAGAAACACGCAGAGCGAAGCGGCTTTAGGACCATCGCAGTGTTGTCCCTGACCTATGCTGTGGGCACCTACCTGAGCGCCTTTGCGGCTTTGCCCAACGTGGAGTCCACGGGGCTCTACTTGCTGGGCACCTTCGGGCTGGTGGCCTTGGGCTCCGGAGGGATCAAGCCCAATGTGTGTACCATGGGCGCCAACCAGTTCGACCCTCTGGCATGGCTTGCTTTATGAACTTTATGAACTTTATGATGTTTGTGAAATTTGGAGTGGATGTTTAGCCTTTGACTTGTTGCTTACTTGGTGGCTTGGAGCTTGGACTTGCTTCTATGTGGATCTTGCGCCTTCGACTTGCGGGGGAATTCTGGGGTTTTGGGCGAAAAGCCATCTTTTGCGTCGGGAGGGGGGCGATATTGCGCCAAGGACCCTACTGATCCTGCAGCGGAGGAGAATCGAGCTTCCTTCTTCCTGTACTTCTACCTCACAATCAACATGGGCAGCGCTTTGTCCCATGCCTTTCTCTCCAGCTGGGCGACCAGCGGCCTCCCCGCCGTTGGGGTGGATATTGATCATGGCTACTTCTTTGCTTGGATGATCGCGGCGAGCTTGATGCTGATTGCCTTCCTGCTCTTTGTGGGCGGCAAACCGAGCTATCGCAAGCCAGGAAAGGATGAAGTCGACGATGAGCCGGTGGTTCAGCTGTTCGTGCAGACACTGCGAGAGGGCAGCAGCTCTGTGTGGGGAAAGATTGCCATCTTTGGCTGGCTGCTCATTCCCATCTTCATCGTTGTCAGCATTGTGAATGCCTTCGTGGAGTCTACAGTTTTGAAGGGTGGAGCAGTGGCCATGGCCATTGCTTGCATCGGTTCGTTGGTGGTTGCCCACCTGAAGAACCCTTCGTGGCTTCCGGACAACGACGTCAGATCATGTTTGGATGTCGTGCCTTTGCTGTTGGTGGGCAATCTCTTCTTCGGCATTTTGCAGAGCACCATCTCCAGCGTCTTCCAATCCCAGGCTTGCCAGATGGACACGCGTCAGGATCACGGAGACTTTTCCTACGAGGGCTTCCAATACAGCGGCGACTTCTTTCGGCTCGCCAACCCTATCACCATTGTGATTGGCACTCCACTTCTGGACCGCGTCATTTACCCCACTGCCCGGACACCTAGTGCCCTCTTTTCCTTCTTGGTGGTTTCTTTTGAAAATCAACCAAAAGAGGTGCCGCTGTTTTTGTTCCGTGCTGAGGTGAAGAAGTGTACTGGGAAAGAGGTTGGAATCGGTGGCAAGGTGGTTCTGGGCTTCAGCTTCGCCATTGGGGCACAGCTTGCTGCTGCCGGCATCGAGATTGCCCGCAAGTCTTCTGCGGTGCTTCCGGTGGCATCGCATTGTGCACCCATGGTGGACGGGGAGCACGTGCACATGAGTGCCTTGAACTCCTTCTACATGTTGGCCCCCTATGCCATGGTAGGCTTCGGCGAAATCATGGTGAATCCGGTTCTGCAGCACCTGGCCTACGAGGGAGCCCCTGCGTCCATGAAGAGCTTGCTCCAAGCCTTCAACCTCTTTGCCATGGGTGCCTTGCCGAACGGGGTGGCCTCCGTCATCAGTCAGGCACTGAAAAGCCAGGTGCCTAATGACTTGAATAAGGGAAACCTGCCACTGGTCTACTTCATCAACAGCGCCATTGGCGTTATCGGCATCATCGCCTTTATGATTGTGTGGCGCTGCTCCCCCACACGCCAAGACCATGCCAGCAAGGCGATCGCGATGTGTGAAGTGATGTCGGATTCAGACGCCTCAGACGTGTCTGAGGAGGCTCTAGATTAGCCGCACAGTCCGCACACGCGCTCGCTCCGCGTAAGGAACGGCAGTTTGAAGCCCAAAGCAGGCCGAAAGTCTTCCATTGCTTGGGCTCAATACAGATCGGTTGAAGAGGTTTATGGCAAAGCCAGAAATCTCCTGGCAAATTAGCCACAAGAAGAATAACATTTGCTGCAGCGGACCAGCATCACAGTGTCACAGGGATAGACTTGGCTACGCTATGTTTTTCATTGGTACCCCCTTAGCTTTTGCTTTTTAGTGTTTAGTGGGGATTTCCATTTAATGCACTAAAAGGGGAAATTTCCGACTTTGGTGACTTCCACCAGACTGCTACATTCTGCTTCGCAGCTGTGGCAGTAGCTGTAGTTTCCCCCTGACATATGACTTTTCACGAGCGGTTGTGCAATGTGCTGTGAGACGTCTTGCCACTAAGCGGAGCCCCACGTCGAAACCATGAACAGGTTCTTGCATGTCCTTGTGTTAGTTTGGTTAACAGATGGGTTCCACTGGTTTAGATCGGTTTTGCCAGGGCCATCCATTTTACCAAAAGGTCACCTAAGCTTCCGATGGATCTTTGCAGAGCAACTTCTTCGAACAAGTTTCTCTGCGCAAGTTCCTCGCGGCAATTTCTATGTTCTCTGAGGTTTCTCTGAGGTGTTTTTGTGCACGTGCATCGCAATCACATTTCGCGAATGTCAAGCTGGAGCTGCCAAATTGGACTCAGACTGAGGAATGCCAATGTTCGTCCTGCCTTTGCAGAGGTAGCTGCTACTGGTTCTGTCCAGAATGTTGAGCTGGCATACCGGCATGCTCGATGATTCATGTTCACCTCCCAGCATCTTCCAGGAACCTTTTGAAAACACAGTCGGTAGGCTCACCGACCAGGAAATTTGGAATAGCCAGGCTTCTTGTTTGGATTTTCCAAACCCACCATTCATATTTTGTCATGGAGCATTTCTTTTTTTTGGCGGGGGGATCCAACTGTTTCCCTCCCACGAATTAACGTTTGGTACCTGGTCCCTGTAACAGGAAAAGGGTTCAAGCCAGGACAGATGACCCGATGCCACTGTTACATAACTGTTTCCTGGTGCTCTGGATATTGGATAAGAAGAATTAAATTGCGTCATGGCGTACCCACAAAAGGAGTTGTTTGAAAGAGAAGCCAAAAGGAAACCACCCCAACTCGGGATAATTTTCCCATTGTGGCACATACCCATTTTTGTTTGGGCTGGGTTATCATGATCTTATTTGGAATCCACGGATCCGGAGCCAAGCGCCCTCGATTTCAGGCCATGGCTGGTCTATCTCGCAGCTGCGGGAGGCAGAGCGTGGAAATCGCCGGGCCCCTGCAAAAAAGAAAAACAAGCTCGTCCCAGGAAGAGAAGTTTCTTGGTGATTCCAGGTTTTTAGCCCCCCTGAGGTGGGTTAGTGGTTGGATTTCCGAGTTTCACCCACTGAAAGTTAGTCACTTGATCGGGCGATCTGAATACGGACAGCCCAGAGAAGAGAATCACCCTTTTCGGGTTGTGATCGGGAGTTTCCAACGTGGAAGTGGACAGAAAGGCTTTTCCAGATGACTCTTCCCAAACCCTTCTGCCAGCTTCCGATTGTTGGAAAGAGGGTAGGTAGCTTCCTTTGTGGTGTTCCTCAAAGTACTGCTCTTCTCCAGCAGAATTGGACGTTGTCTTAGGGGGCCTTTAATAGCAAAGAATGTGGAATGTGCACAGAACAAACTACAGTCCTGAAAACCCTGCTGCGCACATCCTCTTGAAGGATGATCGCTGGTGTGCATCATCCAGTCAACCCGAGCCCCATGCCACATCATACTCGATCCACGGTTAGCAGTGCCGATGTTCAGCTCAGGCATACAGAGACAAACCATGATAATTTCGAATTGACCACTCCTTGGCACAGAGTAGCAGACATACGCACATTCTTTGTGTTTCTTCATTCCTAACAGTCATCTAGCATGGTGAACACTGACAAAGGATGGAATAGTTGACACTGACCAGCGCAGCGAGCAGAGGCATTGACGCGACAAGGTGGATCCATGACTGCAAGAGCCGTTGCCATGGCCTCATAAACCTTCGCAATGGAAGATGTGCCCTGGACGCAAGACGTTTTGATCTGATAGATACCTGGCCCATTTTTTGCCGCACCATCTACTTGCAAGTTCATGTTCAATCCTTACTGAATTCCAAGCCAGTGGTTTTCCTTGCTCTAGTGATGTCCCGCAACACAGAGAAAGGGGATCCGGGGCGAAGACTTTGGGCTCCAAGGAGCTGCGGGTCGACCCTCAGCGCGCCTCGGTGTCAAACCTGCCTCTCTTGGCAGGCCGGGGAGCATCCGGGCGAAGCAGGTTCCGATGTTGTTTCCCGTCAACGACTCCGTTGCTCAACGGTTTTTGAGGGTTCACTCTTGAGCCTCTTGTGACACGGCTTCTTGGAGCCCTTGCCTGCTATGAATTTCTTGCAAGCGTGTACACGGAAGTCAGATACGGTTGAGTTGCGGGAGAGGAGCAGCGACAGCCCAAGTGGCAAAGAAGGACAGTCGCTTTATGAACATAGCATGGTGCAGCAAGCACTCGCGGCATTGCTCGCGCAAGCAAGAACATGTTTGTACTCATGCAGTCTGAGCGCTCTATACCCATTAAAAGCAAACGGTTTCGCGCTTGCGGCCCCACGCAATCTTTAGAAATATCCATACACGCCACACGAAACAGCCCTCATTCTCCCCGCTCAAAAAACCTGTGTTACCTTATACGTTTAATTACCTTAATTATGCCCATAGTACACTTCCTTTGTTTTGTGGGGGGGAGTCACCCCAGTTGGTAGTTGCCTGAAGGAAAGCTGACCAAGCAGGTTGTAGCACCTGGAGCGGAGAAGGCGTCCTCTGACCAGTGTCAAGTAGCGGGCTTGTGGCCCACACACGCAGCTGAGAGGCTCTGACACCTGGGCACAGATTGGATTGAGTCTGTCAACCCGATTGAACAAATCCGTGCTACAATATGTAGCTCACTTTTAGCCAATTTGCCCAAATCGAAGCCAAAAGATGGAATATGCATATTCAGTATGCTGGCATGAGCAGATCAGACACTCACTTGGCGGGTTCTCAAAACAAAAAACAACTTTTGACACGAATGCCGCTTTGCCTGGGAGGATGCGTCCACACTTGAGTTGCAGAGTCGATCTCTGACGCACGATCCCCTTCTTGAGCATGGGCTCCTTCTTGCAGGAGCTTTCCGGATCACCTATTTGTCAGCACCTTGTTTCCTTTTCCGATTGGTTCCCCGGAAAAGAATACAACCCAGGACACCCTTTGGAAGACTGGTTGCGGTTGGTTGAACGAAACAACATACCAGCTAGAGCGCCCTGGTTCCATGAAAGACAACTGGTGTCTCATCCATGGAGGGCACGTGTGACGCACCCCTCCCATCCCGGCCTGCGCTAGGCTTGCCACCAGGAGCCGCGGGGTGGGTCCGGGCTTTTCCACTTGCGCGGCACGTTGTCTCACGTTTGTTCGGAAGGGGTCCCTTTTTGGTTTGGTTCTTCCAAAGATGATGCCTTTTTTGTTCGAAAATGCGCCTTTTTTCAGATCATTGCTTTTGGACACCAGGACATCATTCCAGGACATCTTTTAGGGGTCTCCGCCTTTGACCCGTTTTACGACATGCCGTTCACCAGAAATGACCAACGCTGCCATTCTCGTAGCCTCAGGCAGCCAAAGGCTCTCAGGCAGATGGCGTTGTTTGAAGATACGATTGACGCCTGAAAAGCACGGGGAGAGCTGAACAACACGCATACAACGTAGCCTGCAAAACACGGTATGAGCTGAAAAGCACGAATCCATGGTACCATCCTCAGCAATCAGATTCTATGCCAGCAGAACTTGGGGCACAATTGAGGGTTGTCAAGGGAAGTTTAGAAGGAACTTCCGATGTCCGCGCACGAATTGAACGCTAACTCTCTGACAGGCAAGAAACGAACTTGCCCGAACGAGTTCAAATGCGGGCGGGAATAGAAGTGTCCAAAAAGTGCAACCCGGAGCAGGTTTCACTCCCCAACCCGTTGGCTTGCGGAACATGCATGTTGAATAGTCACACGTGTCTTCGCCGCGGTGTAAGATGTTGGTAGATCCACTCGTTTAGCCCTTGCGTTTGTACGGGTGCCAAGAGATTAACAGCCTAGCTCCTGCCCTGCCCTTCACCAATTTGCATGCTAGCAAGTAAGCCTCCATCACCTGTGGCTGCTTACGGTCAATCCGCGGCGAACATCGAGCAATCAGGCTTCTTCCTTGCACCCTATTCAGGCAGTCTTTGTCATTGATAGTTTGGGGCCCTCCCCTCCCCCCCCACACAAACATATTGTTTGTTCTTTCTCTCCCCCCTCCCCGTGCCATCCCCCCCCCCCGCAAAAGAACAACTCTAAAGAAAAGAAGAAGAAAGCAACTTTGGTGTGTTTATCCCTCTCCCAACCGCCCACCTCCGTGCCAATATTCCCATGTTTGCTCCATTTGTTGAGTTCTGGCTACCCGACCATTATCTTTAATCATATGATAGCTTATGCCTATTATGCCTTAGCAGGCTGCGCATGTTTGGGCTGTTTTCAAGCGGCACCCATGGTCCTCTGGTGAAAGCGAACCCAAATCAAAGAAACTAGGCTAACGATTGACGAAAATGGGTGAAAAACTAGATTAAGTCCTAAGATTTGGGCCATGCTCCCCTGATCATTGCTTGCTTTCGTAGGCCCGGCCGAGCGGAAACTTCAGCGGCTCCAGAAGGGCCTCAGCCTGCAGCAGCAGCTGCCACTCTTCCCGGATGCGCCGAAGCTTCGCGACGCACGGGGCCCCGGATGCCCAATACAGAAAGTGGGTGTGTTTTGTTTGCCTCGCCATGCGGGTCCATTGAGGAGCCTAGTGGAAAGTGGCTTCCTGGACGTTTTTCTTGAGGGCGGGATGGTACTCTTTTGGGGTGCTGAGCGACAACCAATGCTGTTGGAAACCGGGGAGCGTGTGGTGGGGAGTGTTGTTCCAAGCCCAGACTTGTTGCTTGGCCTCCATTTGTTCCTCTGGCTTATGGGCCCAGAAAGCAAGTCAACAAGAACAGGCTCACCCTGGTAGTGTACAAAAACAGCGCACTGCCCGGATGCATGTGTTGGCACCTTTATAAATATATGTACATATATATATATACACATGTGTTTATGTTCTGCAAGCTTGGAAGAATGGCGTCAAAAGTAAAGTAAAAGCACACTTAGACACGTGGAGGGGCTTTTGTGGACAACTTGGAGTCTGGCAGCGATGCGAAAGGTGCGAACGGATCAGTTCCGAGGCATGGCGTGGTTCGCAAGGCGCTTTGGAAATGATGTCGGTGCATGCTCTTATTGAGGGTACCCTTGCAACGTTGGTTTAAGGAAGTAAAAAAGAACCCACTGGTCTCGGGCTGCCCCTGCTTTGACAGGTGCGGGCAGTGAATGTATGCATCGGGGAGGTACTTCCCTACATCTTAGACCGTCTCCAGTGAACTCAGTGATGGCAAACTACCCAACCATTTTGACTTGATACGACTCCTATAGTTTTCCATGAACTTGCGCCGGCCAAAAAAAAAAGCTTCCCAGCACTTGGGATGTTTGCCCCAGGTTTTCATCCAAGATCCCACCTTCAAGTCGCATCCGAAATCAGCTGGCGGGCGTCTAACTGGCCCAAGATCCGTTTCTTTGTTCGGCCCTCCAAAAGTGGCGCAACGGTGTTCCCTTTTGGTGTACCTTTCAAAAATAACTTGCTGGTGCTCAGCAGGGAATGAGGGGAATGCCCCCGAGATCAACCATCCCTTGAGGTTTCCTTCAAGGGGACTGGGTTCATTCCCAAGACCCGGTCTCAATCATCTCTACCTATGGCCCCAGCAACCCAAGGGGTCCCAAAATTCCAGGGGGGGTTGATCCATATTCCCTTCGACCCCCACATGACCATGGGTAACATTTCCCACAAAACAGACGTGTCGCCCACAAGGTCATGATCGTGTTGGCAGGTTTAGGGGTCTTAGGTTTTAGGGTTTTTAGGGTTTAGTTTAAGGTTTTTAGGGTATAGGTTTATGTTTTTTTAGGGCTTAGGTTTAGGGTTGTTATGGCTTAGGTTTAGGGTTGTTAGGGTTTAGGTTGAGGGTTTAGGTTTAGGGTTTTCAGGGCTTTTAGTGTTATTTTAGGGTTTAGGTTCAAGGTTTTGTGGGCTTAGGTTTATGTTTTTTAGGGCTTAGGTTTAGGGTTGTTAGGGCTTAGGTTTAGCGTTGTTAGGGTTTAGGTTGAGGGTTTTTAGGGTTTAGGTTTA